TTTGTTTAAATAACCAAAATACCCCTAATATTAATTAATATATATATATATATATATATATATATACATATATATCATATTATACATATAAAAAACTTACGTATGTGTATATATACATATGTAATACACATATATATATATATACATACACATACATACATATACATATACATATATATACATATACATATATAAACATATACATACATATATATACACATATATACACACATACATACATATATATACACACATACATACATATACACACATGTATACATATACACACACATACAGACATACATACACACATACATATATATATACACACAAACAATCATATATACATACATACATCTATATACACGTACACATACATACATACATATACATATACATATACACATACATACATATACATATACACATACATAGATATATACACACGTGCATATATAAACATATATATACACATATATATACACATGCATACATATATACATACATACACTGCAGGTATATACATATATATTCATACACATATATACACACATATATATACATACATATATTTATATATATAATACATATATACATACATAAATTAAAAAAATATATTAATAATTTTATTTGGTATATATTATGTTTGATATTGTTAATAATTTTATTTGGTATATATTATGTGTGATATTGTTTGGTTTTACCAATAAATATTTTTAAAATATTTTTAATATTAAATTTATTTTTGAAAATAAATTAAATTGATAATAAAATTATATTTTAAAATTTATAATTAACTATTTATAAATTTAATAATTATTTGATATTAAATAATAGTAAAAAACTAATTAAAAATATTTTAAAAATAGTTATTATTGTATATAATAAAATGATTTTTTTTTTGTAATTTAAACCAAATCGCAATCGCAATCGCTATCGCTGTCAACCAGTCATTCTAAATCTTAATCACTCGCAATCGCTACCAACAATAGTTTTTCTACCAGTCAGTACCAATCGCCTAGAATCGCCAGCGATTGCGATGGCGATTCCACCAGTCAACACCTAAGTGAACCGTTTCAATCATGGATTTGAAAAATTGAAATGAGAAAAAAAAAACATAGACATATAAGAAGACATTTTCTTTCTAGACAAAGGCTCTCTTGCATAGTAGGACTATTCCATGACCTTCTGCCACAATCGCTCTAATACATATAACCTGTTTACTGCGAGACTGACTTGTATATATAGATTTTGTTGTATATGTGCAGAAAGAGATAAAAGAGAAAATAATTGTTTCATTGTCAAAAGAAACACATGTAGTAAACTACAACAAAATCTGTATATACAAGTAAATCTCGCAGTAAACAAACTATATATATTAGAACGATTGTGGCAGAAAACCATAGAATAGTTCTACTATACGAAAGAGCTTTTTTCTATAAAGAAAAATGCCTTCTCTATACGTCTCTATTTCTTTTCTCATTTCAATTTTTCAAATCCATGATTGAAACGGTTCACTTAGCGCCCTCGAAGCTGCGGTTGGATCTGCGCATTTAATCTTGAAAGCATATGCCAAATGCTTGTTCATTTTCTTATAAGTTTCTAGCTCCTTCACTCTAACATGCAATTTGGCATCTGCTTCGCAATATTTGTTTTCATACTCGAGTCATAATCTAGCCATATTCCTCTCGAATTCAGCTTTCAATTGTAATTTCTACATATAAGCATCGAGACAATGACTAGAGAGAAACCAAAACCAACAAAAAGCGATGAAACCGAGGATAAGAAAGAAGTAACGGTATCTCCATGGGTCCTCATAGCTGTCTCTACGTATCTTTTCTAGCTCATACTGAAACGGGTCACCGAATGGCTTATGAGGAGCATTTGACCTGTGCTATGCAGCGAATGAGCTATGGAAGGCTCTGCTACTTGTTCAATATTTTGACTCTCAATGTTTGGTGAAGGATTGTGTTGAGTTCCAGCCAGTAACGATGGTGTAGGAAGCATATCATGATCGGTATATCCAAGAAAAAAAAAATCTTAGGCAAATATATATATATGATCGCTACCCATTTTTCTTGCTGAAGCTTTAAAATGAAGATTACTAGGGAAAAGGGAAACAATTAAGAGAAAAATTAATATTAATAGTATTTCATAGAAAAGGAAAAGTTACTTGATTGATTGAGCCCATTCCGCTTGTCCGAGATGGCAACATAGTTGGGGTCAAATTGCTTGCTCCATTATTTTCTGCAAAAACAATAGCTGCTCTCCATTAAGGAAGATCTTCGGATGCACCATTTTCTATCGGCACCCTCAAGGTAACATCTGATGTTGTGATTTTTAGAGTAAATGAATGAGAATTTAGAATCTCTCAAAAGGATTCATGTTTCACGTGTATTACAAGTATGGTGGAGGAGTTAAATGGTTGTAAAGTATGTTCTATGAATTGGCTAAGTGTTAAGGATTCGTCGGAAGAATTTACGTTCGGTTTTGAACGTGAAAAGTGATCTCAGAAGAAATGAAATGGCAACTCGAAAAAATGAGGTGGCAGCACGTTTTTCTGAGAAATTAATCCCAGAAATAAACTGGCGGGTAGCTCGCAAAAACGGGCGTGCAGTCCGTTTTTCTGAGGAGTTCGAAATGAGCGAAAAATCGCGATCATTCGAAAAAACTTCCGATTTCTTTGCACCTTTCGATTTTTGGAGTGTTAACCTCTAGAACTTCTAACACTATATAGAACAAATCTAAGTTGTTTTTTGAAAGATTTGAGAGCACGTTTGTGATTGTTCTTGCAAAGCACTCACAAAAACTTTTTGTTCATCTTCTTCTTGCGGTTTCTTGTGTTTGTGTTCTTCTGTTTCAGAATAGTTGTGGTCTCGGCAATCTCAGAAGACAAAACCCCCAATCAGATAAAGATCATAAATTAAAACGCTTTCACATCATGTCATTAGTTGATTCTACAGATCCTTACAAGCTCATTTAGACAACAAATGTCCTAACAACAGCTCTCCATGGATTTGATCAAATGCGCGTGGAGACATGTAACTTGGGCCGAAGCAAAACCGGAACATAATTCACTTTTCAGGTTCGAGAACTCAGGCTCCGACAGGATTATGCTAAAAATAATTGTGAAGCGACATCGAGTGTGTGGTAATTTGATTCAAACATTTCGTTAGATCCATTCAATCTCATATACCTTTGCTGGTGCCTTGATATGAGACTTCAGCTCATTGTTTGCTTTGTTTTCGTTCTTGGGTAGTGGAGGAGATATCAGCTCCAACTCCTCCTTGCTCGAAGAAGGATCCTGATGAAGTGAAAGATGGAATCCGGTAAGAGTACAAACTGTTTCAGAACAGATTATCATTTCCTGTTGTTTAGGAAAAAACAGAGGCTCACTCTGGTAAGAGATTTTCTTTGAGTTCATGTTTCTGGCGTAAACGTGATGGGGTAAATAGGGATGACCATTTTGGTTATTCACCCAATAAGATATAACCGTAACCGAACCGAACCCGATATAAAAACCGAACGGTTATGATTTTTCTAAATCCGAAAAAACCGAAACCGAATCGATTAAAATAATAACCGTAAAAACCGATAATTTATTTGAAAAAATAAGCTTTTTACAACCAAAAAACTGAATACGAACCAAACCGAAACCGTGAAGTTCTCCGGTGAAAATAAATGAATCGGTCTTATTATATATTTTTTAATTACTTTTCTCAATTTTACAAACACACACAACGATTTTGTTTTCATGTTGTTTATCGACATCTTCAAAATGTAACCAGATTTTATTCCCTATGCGTATTTTTTCCAACAATTAAATATATATATATAACCAATCCAATTTAACTGACTTATCAAGTTATTAATTGGTTTTTTGATATTTTATATTTCAATGATAACTCCTTTCCAATGTCTAGAGGCGAACGTATATATTATAAAATCCAATAAACAAATATCAATGTAATATTGTTTTTTTTTTTTTTTTTTTGACAAATGCTCTTGAGGTATATATGCCTTTTTGACAAATTCAGAAAAGTAAAAAAAAATATAATATGACCGATTCATTTATTTCCGCTTAATAACTTCAATTGTAACAACAAAAGGGAGGCAAAAAAGGTCAGTTTCCGTATCTAATATTTCCTTTTCCGAATTAAAATACAAACTTTCTAAAATTTACCTTCACATGTCCCGTAAAAAATGGAAGTATTCCTCAGTGGAATACACACAAAAAAAGGCATATACATATATATATATATATATATATATATATATTTATGAGAGAGTAAAGCTCGTGCATTGAGTTCACTAAAATAAGAATGGCGTTTCTTGCATTCTACGTTTTCGCGGTTCAAGCAATTCCCCTTCTGTTTGCTGTAGACGCTGCCCCACAAGACGGCATCACAGCCGAACTGATCCTCCTCGATCCCCTCTCCCACACCAACCCCACAGAAAACCGCTACCAACGCATGCAATCACGTTCGCGTTTCTCTCGTCCCACCCGATCGCCGTATTCCGACGCAATATCTGACGTCCGGGGCGGGTACCTGATGAGAATAAAGATTGGGACGCCGCCACTAGAGGTCGTGGGACTTGCAGACACAGGGAGCAATCTTGTCTGGACGCAGTGTTTGCCTTGTCCAGGTAACTGTATCCCACAAGATTTTCCAGTGTTCAACCCTCTCTCTTCCTCCACCTACCAAGACCTTCCTTGCGGCGCAAGTCAGTGCAGAACCATTAACGGACACACCCACTGTCACGACAAGAACAGTGTCTGCCCTTATGCAGAGCTGTATGGCATAGGGAAAAGCTTCTCTTTCGGGTCGGTTGGGTTCGACACATTTACCTTCGGCCTGACCTCTGGCTTGCGGTTTTCTCTGAACGAAACCCTCTTCGGCTGCGGTCGAAATATCTCCGGTTTCAGCCATGGCGTGACAGGCATCATCGGACTCGGTAGGGGATCGTTTTCCCTCATCTCTCAGATGGGAGACAGAGTGCAGGGTCTCTTCTCCTACTGTTTCGGCGCCGAGACAAGCAAGATCAACTTCGGAGCAAACGCTGTCGTTTCGGGCGACGGTACTGTGTCCACATTGCTTTTGCGAAAGAAGTCTAGTCCGAGCCTCTACTACCTAAACCTAGAGGCAGTGAGCGTGGACGACGCACGTGTCGAGACCTCAGGAACCTCGATGGGTTCAAAGGACGGGAACATCTTCATAGACTCGGGAACGACATATATGATGCTGGCGGAGGACTATTTCTTGCGCGTCAAGGAAGCCGTGACAGCCTCGATGAGAGAGAAAGGAGCCTATCCCCAGGACGGGAACTGTTACTCGCCATGCAATCTCGAGGATTTTCCGGTGATAACGATGCATTTCGCTGGTGCGGATCTTGTAATGGGACGATCAAACACGTACGATAACGTAGACACGGGGGTGGTTTGCTTAAAGTTCGTGCCGGCCCTAGATGGGTATCGTCCTGTTCTCGGCTACGAAGCGCAGTCCAATTTCTTGATTGGTTATGACACTGTCTCGGATATCATCTCCTTTAAGCCCACCAACTGCACTTCTCTTTGGCATTGATTCATCACTACTGTTTTAGAGAGTTGGCTTTCGTTAGTTTTTTAGGATTATTAGCTTAATTTCTCTGCCCTCTTCTTTTTTTTTTTTTTTTTTTGAGAATGTGCTTCGTATTATCTACCAAAAAATGTGTTTTACAGACCCCCAATAGTTAAAAACAACCAAAAGGTAACCAATTTCCATGATGATGGAATCACTACATGACTCAACAACTTACAAAAAACTTACAAAAACTAACGCCAATCTCTCAAGTAGTGTATGTGAGATGATACCAATGCTCAAGCAAACGACATTGTGTGATGTCTTGATGTGCTACCTTAGAAGCTAGGAGTGTGTCTCGCATTGTGCGATCTATCTTGCGTCGGATTTCCTGGGTAGTCCGTGTCTTACCCCTGAAGATCCTATTGTTCCGCTCTCTCCACAGTTCATAGACGGACATTTGGGCGAGAAGTTTGACAATAACTTACTGACCTCTGTCTATAGCGTGTCCCGGATCATCCACCCACTGTTGACAATCTCGTAGCGTGTCCGGAGGAGATGCCAGCAAGCCCTTGCCATCGTCTTCCAGATATGAGTGCTAAAGGGGCATGCGAAGAACAAATGGTCGTGGGATTCGTCCTCCGCACTGCACAGGATACATCGCGTCACTATCTGCATTCCCCAGGCCGCCAAGCGATCAGCTGTCGGAAGTCGTCCTTGGATTGCCTGCCAAACAATGAAAGCCATCCTCAGAATTGCTTTTTTGAACCAAACCATGTCGTGCCATGCCACTGCTACAGGGATTCCTCGAAGGAGTTGGCGGGTGCTCGTCGAACTGAAATGCTCCCTAAAGTCTCCAGATTTTTGCCGCCATAGGTATCGATCAGCTCCTTTCCCCTCCATCGGTGGGTCCATTCCAGCTAGGGCAATCTGAAGCTGCATAAGTTTGTCATTCCTCGCCGGCGGCAGGATTTGTTGTCTGATTATTAGACCAAGTAAAAAAGAAGCCACGACCAGGTATATCAGTGAGTTCAGCTTCTTCTACACCAATTGTCAAACCAAAATGAAGCTTGTTTTCCATCCCCAATTTCCACACGTATGAAGGTTTTTGCCAGGTCCCTGATCTTGAGGAGCCTTCTGAAGTTATAAGAAGCATTGATTGTTTGTGGGGCTTCCCAAAAACCATGTTTACGGATAGTGTTTTCTCTTATCCAGTCTACCCATAACGATTGCTTTTTGACAAAGAGTAGCCAGATTAGCTTCAATCGAAATGTAGTGTTTGTTGTCTCCAATTTCAACAAGCCTTAGCATCCCTCCTTCTTGGTCCGACAGATGCTCTCCCACGAGACCCGATGAGCTGCTGATGTACCTTGCTTGTGACTCCAAAGGAAGTTTGAACAAAGGCTGTCAATTTGCTTCAGTAAATATTTGGGAAGCATGAAGATCATACTCCACGAATTCACCAATCCATATATAACAGACGCCACAAGTTGGATCTTCCCCGTTGAAGAAAGAGATTTCGTTGCCCATGCTGTCATCTTGAATCTGATCTTATCTAGGAGAGGCTTGTAGTCCTCCCTAGATAACCGTTTGGGTGATAAGGGTACACCCAGATAACGGACAGGGAGTTGGCCTCTTGACAGACCAACCGCTGCACAAATTCTGCTTGCCTCGGTGAGATCCGTTCCACTAATGAACAACTCAGATTTGTTGAGGTTAAGCTTCAAGCCTGAATGTTTCCCAAAGTCATCCAATATCTGAAGAATCCTTGCTATTGAGCTCTCTGTTCCCTGTGAGAATATCATTATATCGTCAGCAAAAGACAGATGCGTTATAAGGGGTTTCTGACATCTCGTATGTGTGATGAACTCGGATGCAAGTGCAGCTTTGTTCAGCATTCTTGTAAGTGGTTCCATGGCCAATATGAACAAGTATGGCGATATTGGATCCCCCTGTCGTAACCCTCGTCGCCCTTTGAAGTACCCCTCTAAACTTCCGTTGATTGAAATCGAATACTTCGGTGTAGTCAGACATGTTGCAATCCACTCAACAAATTTATGCGGAAGATTCAGTCCACGCAACAAATTTATCACAAAATCCCAGCTCAATGTATCAAATGCCTTGCGTATATCGATCTTTACCATGGCATTTTTCTTTGCCGAGACTCTGTTGTAGTCCTTTATCAATTCAGCTGCCAGAAGTGAGTTTTCCAACATTAATCTCCCTTTCAGAAATGCAGATTGGTTTGGGGAAATGATCTTCACGAGGATTTTGCGCAAACGGGTTGCCAGGATGGTGGAGATGACCTTGTATATGGTGTTACAACAGCTGATTGGCCGGAAATCCGATAGCGACGCTGCATGGGGCTTCTTTGGGACTAATGTTATGATGGTAGCATTCACTTGACCAAGCAGAGACCCTGATTCAAAGAAGTGTGTGATTGCTGCAATCACATCCCCACCAATCGTTTCCCATGCTGTAGAGAAAAATTCCTTCGGGTATCCATCGGGCCCTGGAGCTTTGTTCTGTGGCATTGACATTAATGTTGTCTTTATCTCCTCGGGTAGTGGAATAGCTGTCAACTCAGTAGCTAGTTCCGATGGCCATACAGAGGGTATTAGTTCTCGGAACCATTGGGGGCTGGGCGGTTGTGTTTCCTCATTACGTCTCCCGATCAAGGAGCGGAAGTATTGGACTGCATGTTCAGAGATAGAGCTGTGAGTTTCAAGCCTTTGACCAGCATCATCAACTAGGAAGTGAATTCTGTTTCGAGCAGCTCTTGTTTTCACGGTGCGGTGGAAGAAGGCTGTATTTTTATCGCCGAGTCTCAGCCATGTTACTCTGGATCTTTGCCGGTAGTAGCGTTCCTCAGCGGCTGCCAATAACATTAATTTAGCTCGAGCAGCTCTTTCCTCTTCCACTGAAGTGTTGTTTGGGGATACGAGTGTTATGCCTTGCAATAGCTTCAGATTGTCCTTCGCCTCCTGGACTCTCATTGAGATTTGGCTAAAATTTGCCGCATTCAAGGCTCTAAGCGACTGCTTCAAGCGTTTCAGAGTTGAGCACAAATGAAATTGAGGGCTATCCTCGAGGCTTCTAGTTGCCCAGCCATCGCGTACTACCCTGGAAAAATCAGGAAGAAGTGTCAGGTAGTGGAAGAACTTAAACGGTTTAGAGTTTCTGCCCATTGGTCTCGCCAATGTGAGGGTGATAGGTGAGTGGTCAGAATGCTCCGGGTGCCCAAATTCAGCTATAGAGTCCGGAAAAACATCAAGCCAACCATGGTTGCACATTGCCCGGTCTATCTTTGTTGAGATCGGATTTGTTGTCTGATTATTAGACCAAGTAAAAAAGAAGCCACGACCAGGTATATCAGTGAGTTCAGCTTCTTCTACACAGCTTTCGAAGTCTGGTATTCCATGATTTGATGGTATGACTTGCCCCTGGTTATAGTCTGATCGTTCCGAAGCTGATAGTATCTGGTTGTAATCTCCCATAAGTACCCACGGCCTTACCCTGAGTGGTGGGTATTGCGACAGCGTAACTACTTCTGCCCATAAACTCCGACGCTCGATCACAGAGTTACAGGCATAAACAAAGGTGGCAGTGAAAGATCGGTTGCAACCTGGCAGCGAGATACCACATGTGACCGACTGCTTCGAGGCGGTGTAAACAGTTACCGTAACGGATGGGTCCCAGACCACCCAGATACGTCCCACTTGCGTGGAATCGAAATTGCAATAGTGTTTCCATCCGAAAGGTAGCACAGCTTGAATACGGTCCTTGTTTGACTCATGAATGTGTGTTTCCAGAAGAGCACCTACTAGCATACGCTTCTCCAAAATCCACTTGCGTGTAAGGAATCTCTTATTCGCGGCATTTAGCCCTCGTGTGTTCCAAGCAAAAATCATGGAAATGGTGGGGGTAGGTTACTTTCTCTTCGCGGCCTTTTGGCCACAAACTTTCCTGGTGACTTGTGTGAACCCGTCATCAACTTGCCCCGGTGGCTTCTGCTTGCTTCCAGCCTCAGGTGTATGGTCGGCTAATCCTTTGTCTATGGGCGCAGTGCTCGTGGTTGGAGCAGAGGGAAGAGGGGTTGCCTGGGTATTATGCCCTGAGGCTAAGGCCTGGTTCTGCGTTGGTGGTGCTTGCAGAGCATCCTTCGAAGCCTTCTGGTCACATGGTCCAGGGTTTACCTGCTGCAGAGCTGGAGTATCACTGGATCTCGGCTGTGGCGGATTCTTGGGGCAATGGTGCTCGTTGTGACCCACCTCTGAACATATGGAACACCTTGGGGGTAGCCAATCAAATGAGAGACTAACAACATGTTCTCTATCTCCTGGAAGTCTGACTATCACTGTCTTTGGAGGAGGAGTGTTGAGATTCACAGCGACATAGATTCTGGCTTCTCTGCCCTCTTTGTTTCAATGTTTGATTTCTTTTGCGTGTAAATGACATAAAAATGTCTGAATGCCCCTATGAACAAGACATCAAGCTTCTCCACGAACTCGGGAACTCCCTTTCTTCTCGGACAATCAAATCTAGAAAACGTTCTAGAAGAAGGTATATACAAGTACTTTCTCCGATGTAGAAGAAACAAAACAAAACGGTTGCACAAGATTCGGTTTCTTTCAACGTATCGGAAGTTCAAGAACCAATCCATGACTGAACTCGGTAGCTTCTCTGGTTCGGAAAAAAAAGACAGATTACATGCAAAGTTACCTGTAAATCTATCTTTACGTTTATGTCCACGAAAGTTGCAATTTTTTTTATCAGAAATATTGCTTCTTGGAGCGTCACAGATTAGAAAAATCGACCGTAAAATTTTTAAACATCCTTATTATCAAGCAAATCAGCCCACTGCTTAAGTTTTAAAATCGACCGTAAAATCAAATATGCAGAATTTCTTCTAATTTCCACGTTAGAAAAAGTCCGATTTTAGTAAAGTTTTCTACATTAGATGGTTAACCCAACCCAACCCAATTATTTTTGTATTTGAATTATTTTTTGGGTTAAAATTATTTTATAGATTATATAGGTTTTAACCCTTTAAATCCATGAATTTAATAACTTAACCTAATTAACCCAAATAATTCATTAAACATTTCATTCTTTAGTTATTGATTAGATTTGATTGAATAAAATATTTAACATTTACTTATAAATATAGTCAATATATATTTTAAAATTTAAATCGAATTAATTCGAATCAAACACATATATTCAAATTCGATTTTACAAAATTTATTTTAAAATAAAAAATTGAGCACGAACCAAATATAAAAATAATCGAAAAATGGAAAATTTCTATTAAGAATTGAGAATTTTATAATAAATATAGAATTCAAATTGAAATAAATCAAATGGGACGATTCGATCCGAAACGAAATGAATTTGATTTGAAATGAATCAAAACGGATTGATTCGATCTGAATCAAAACAAATTGATCCGAATCAAATTCGACTCGAAAAGAATCGATTTGATCTGTTTCGATCCGAATTGAATTTAAATCTATACGAATTGAAATGGATCAAATTTGAATCTTTTTACTTATATATATTATTTATTAATATTTTATATATATTGGTATTATGTAATCTAATCGAATCTTTTTAGTATATAAAATTATGTAATCTGATCGAACTTAGGAGAGTCATAATATTATTTAGGAAGATTGATATGGTTTAGAATGAGTTATTTGTATTTAATAAAAATAATAAAATATTATGATGCAATTTGAATTCGGGTAGAGTTATTATTTGGATTTTTTGTGTAGATAGAGTTAATAATCACGTTTTTGTCACCTTTATTTTGAACTTTCAAAAAATTACTTGGATTTATTATTTAACATTTGTGTAATTCGAAATTTATTACAATATGCAAATGGAAAAATTTTATTTTTACTTTTATTTTAAGATATTGAAATTGAACTTGGTGGTTAATTCAAGTTGTATTTAAATGGCTGTTGAATTTTTTTTGTGTATATATATATTCATTCTTTTTCTATGAAATAATCATCATTCTAAAGACCAAAGATCCAACCATAAACAAATTTACATTAACATTAATTAAACATACCATTTATAAAACTAGATTAATATATCGATAATAATTTTTGAAATATATCAGATTATTCGGGATAAGTTTGGTACAAATTGTCACCTTTAACTCAGTACTAAGAGAAAATGTTTTAATTAATTATTTGAGAAGAAAAACTAAGGGTTGGTAGTGACAGATGCGGAGATAAGACTTAAATTTATGATTTATATGTTCAAGATTAATCATCCAATTAATCAATACTCACGGGTGGTCTATTTAGTATTTGGTTGTAGGAAATAAACAAAAAAATGAAAATTTTGATAAATAAATATACAAACTTTTAATTTTGTATAAAAAGTAAAATTGTAAAACCTTATACATAAACCCTACATAAATTTATATATAAATAAAATATATAAAATTAAAAAATTTTATATAAATCCACATAAAAACACAAACGATGTTACTATTTATATGAATTTATCGTAAAATTTAAAAATTTATCTATTTTTATACAAAACTATAAGTTCGATATATTTATTTATCAATTTAAAAAAATCATATTTTTAACGATATTTTTGAATTGTTTCCTTATAAATTATATATAATCAATAAAATACATAAAAACAACGTAAACAACTTTGGACGTTATTTTTTTTGGATGATCGAGTATCTTGTATAGAGTAATATCAGGATTTTGGGGTAATCCATGTAATAAGGAATTTATATCCCTTCTCCAAACTTGAAATTTGAATTCGGAATAGAGTAGATATTTTGTGTTTCCGTTTCACAGATTGAACTATCCAAATTTGGATAATATAATTTTGGACATCATATTTATTGATATGTCCACTAAATTATCACATTTTAGTGGGATTCTCTGTAAATAACTTTTCGTTTTAATTTTCATACATTGGTTTATCCTCTTCTCACAAATTATTTATGTAATCGTGGTTGGATCAAAATTGTAATTGGGTGATAAACCGATTTATATGTGTGGAGAAAGTCCAAACTGTTGACGGAACGAAAGAGGCCGAGGCTTCAAGTGAGAAGGATGACGAATCTGCTGAGATGAAGCTAACGAACAAAACAAAATTATTCAGCAAGGAGAACTCAAGTTAAGGGAGTTAATATTGCAGAAGACAAAAATTCAAGCTGATTTCCTTTGCCATTAGGCACAATATATTCTTACACAAATCTTTATATACTACAACGATACTTTTCCTTTTCATTCCCTATAACATCGATTTATATTCCCTATACATTTTCTGAAATAATATACAGAGAATAATAAGAGTGCATTCTATCTTCAAATCTCGTTGCTTTTGTTCTCTGCTCTTCTGCTTAATCTGAAACCATCTTGCTACAACCTTGTTTTCCACACAAGCCAGGTTATTATGGACCCAATTAAAATCTCAAGCCGAGTGCCTCGTTTACTTCTTTTAAACATACTTTTCTTTTGAAGATTATGAATCTCAAGGTCCACCGCAAAGTATTAGAGTCTGGATCAATTTTGATCTTTCACCATGATATAATACAATTCGGAGCTAAAGTTCTGTAAAATTTTGGAAATTTTAATTATCTAGCGCTAAGAACTCTCTATGGACATACAGTGTTGATTGTTTTTTCGTTCTCTGCTGTTGCACATTTTTCTTCTTGGGTTCAGAGGGATCTTTGCTATTTCTCAAGTTGAACAGATAGCTGAGGTCGTCAGTGCGTGATTGCTTCTAGATCGCCCTGTCCTAGGTCTTACATAGTTTCTTGGAATCAGTTGTTGGATACTTCAAAGAGAGAGAATGGGTCTGCAACTGCAAGAAAACAACATACTCACTTGCTTCTAGGTCTACTTCTTTGTATTCATGTCACCATCTTTGTACATCGTTCTGTATTATTATTTCATTGCATTGTCGTGATTGGTTCTCTGGTTCATTGCATTTGTAGAGTTCCTCAAGATATCAGGGATTGATGTTTGTAGTAAGCATTTGAGAAGTGCCTTAGCAAATCAAATGCTTATGGTATTTTACTTGAATATTATAAGGTAATTGCTGGCCAATACACATAATATACAAACAATATGTATCATCTATATACTTCACTTCCCATCTTGCCCACATTTTGCATGGCCAGCAAGACGTGTTATGTGGGCTTTGCATCATAGTACATATTCTCACTTAGGATTCAAGAATTTATGTGTATAAAATTCATTAGATTGGTTGTCTACTAAGTTTATCCTCTTATCTTGTCACCTTTTTTTACAGTATTTATCTATCGGTAATTCAGAAATTGTCCATTACCCGTTATTCTCTCTATTGGCCAAACAAATGCACAAACATAGTGTACGTGTGTTTTTTACTATTGTAGATATGCTATTTTGTTGTCATTATTCGTCCTTGTTATTAGTTTAAACGATTTTATATATTGGAAAATTGATACGGACTCTGCATTATATCCTTCCAAAAGATTAGATAAATGGCTTTTAGGCTATTGAGTTTTTTTTTTAAATATATTCATTTGGTTGACTTTTTTATCTTTTTTTTAATTTTAGATTTTAGACAATATTTTGAAGATTTTTTTAACTCGTTGACCAACTTTTATAATTAGAGCTACAACTATCCCACCACTGTTTTTTTTATTTTTATTATTGTTTCTATTCTATTCAAACCAATAATCACATAATTTAAAATTTAATAAAAAGTAAAAATCTATTCGGAATAGAATTTAAAGTAAAGTTTCACTTGTTTGACAATAATTTAAAATGTATATTCTTTGACTTCAATTTTAAACAATTAATAAATAGTAATGATATATCTATGTACCCAAATATTAAATACTTAGTATATATCATATTGTAAATGCATAATATCTATAGAAAATGGATTGTAGAATTCTTATTTTATGATAGTAATACAATCGTTTTATTATGTTCGAGAGAAAATTGGAATATCTTGAGTTATTGCAAGCAATTTTCTATAGTGAAGATATAATTTATTGTTAATCATTGTTTCAAATTTTTGTTAATTAATATTCTTGAACAAACTAATTTTTGCTTATGCAATTGATATTTCAAATTTCAGTGTTTTTTAATTTTATAAGAGTGATATACATATTTATTGTTTATGTTAGTTTTTCAATTCTATAGAAATTTGTTTTTCGGTCATTTTTAGGACATTTTGAAAAATGTTATGGCATGTGTTGATTAAAATATTAATTATATCATCCAATTAGTTTGATCTTGACATTAAGTATTGTATAAACTAATTGAAATCCGATTTACTTGAGGGATTTAAACATAGATTTATTTATTACGATCTTTTATATAGTTGGAGCTAATCTTTAAATTTATCCGAAGAAAGAGTATGTTCTTAACACTAAAATTTGTGCACAATCTCCATTGTTATTTCGATATCAAATTCGCATAAATCTTCTTCTAAATGAGAATTTTATTAAATTTATATGTTCTAAAACGATTATTGATTCCTATACTTGTAACTATAGAAATAGTCGTATTTTACTGGTTTAATCGCTAGTAGTTAGCTTTATATTATGCAATACAAAATGTATTTTTCCTTTGAAGTTTTTAATTAAAACGATTATGAACAAGAAAGTTTGACTTGAAATTCTATCTCCTTTTTCTTTCTATATTTTTGTATGTCAATGTCCGACGAAAGTTTGACCGGAAGAGAGAGAGCGCATGAAGTCAGATAAAACATCTTCTACTTTTACTTTTTTTTCTGATAATGAAACCTTATTTTTTCTTGCAGCATCGGTTGTTCTACCGAGTGCTTTGTATGCGCCTCTTCCGAAGTCTGATATGAGGAGTGAAAACATAATAGGTAGTGGATGCATACCAAAATCAAGGAGCAAACCTCGTGGTATAGACGCCAGCTTCTCAGACACACCACATGGGTGATGTCACCTCTACACCAATTCTCCAACCCTTTGTATATCGTTTTGATGATAATTCTTATAGTTGTAACTATAGGAATAGCTGTGTTTTACTGGTTCCATAGTTGATAGTTAGCTTAAATTATGCAATACAAAATATACTTTTCCTTTGAAGTTTCTAATTAAAACGGTTATGCAAGAAACTTTTGCTTAAAATTCTATCTCCTTATTTCTCTATTTTATTTGTCAATGTCTGGCAAGAGGTTGATCGATCTATTATGTTCGAGAAAAAACTGTAATATCTCATACTATTGCAAACAATTTTCCATATTGAAGATATAATTTGTTGTTAATCATTGTATTGTATTTTCAAATTTTTGTTAATTAGTATTCTTGGTCAAATTAATTTTCGTTTATAAAATTGATATTGTGAATTTCAGTTTTTTTAAATTAGTATTCTTGATCAAACTGGAATGTCTCAAGTCTCAAGTTATTACAAACAATTTTCTATATAAATTTATTGTTTATATTAGTTTTAAGTTCTATACAAATTTGTTTTTTCGATCATTTTCATGACATATTTGAAAAATGTTATGACATGTATTGATTAAAATATTAATTATATCATCGAATTAGTTTGATCTTGATATTAAGTATTGCATAAACTAATTGAAATCCAAGTTATTTTAGAGATATAAGGGAATCATCTAAATTGAAAGAAAAGAAAATCAACAAGTAAAGTTTCACTTGATTTTGATATTAAATTCCTCTCATGTGAACAAATTGAATGAGGAAAAAATCAATAAATTTCACTTGTTTAACAATAAGGATAAAACTGTATTCCAAATAAAATTTAAAGTAAAGTTTCACTTTTTTGGTAATATAAATGTCCATATATGTTTGTAACCTGCATTTTCTCTTACACAAACCCATTTTAGAAAACAGACTAGTTTCCATTTTCCATTACTTTTGTTTAGTGTGTCATTTTGACATCCAAAATTCAATAATATATATATACACAATACATATATATATATATATATATATATGAACAGTACATTTAAAATAGAGTTATGCACTTTTTCCAAAGAAAGTTGAGAATATGAACAGTACATTTAAAATTTTCTAGAATTCCGTACTGAAAATATATGCATGTTCTTTTTCAATTTCTTTTATTTTAATATTATTATAATAGATATGTATATATATTCTTCTCCACCTGTCATTATATATTTTTTTTCTGATAAAAACCTGTCTTTATATTTTGATATCAATCTCCATTCAGTTATTTCTATTAAAATCCAATATCATTTTTCTTAACGTTTTTAAATTTTATTGGATTATAAGTAAAATTAAGATAATATTAGTATAAATATTAGGAGAGAAAAAAGTAGTACTGAAAAAGCCACTGTCGTTGCAGAAACTCACTTTTTTTTTTGCAATTGATAGCATGGAGTAATCGAAATAATCAAATAGGTATATAAATGGTCATCACCACTTAGTCTTTTAAAAACTTAAAAAAAATATTAAAACCAAAGTCCGCATATATATATATATATACATGCATATAAGCAAAGTCACAATTAATTGTGTTTGTGGTATCACGAAATTTAAAGCAAATAAAAGCAATGTCTCAGTTAAACACTCATAATTGATCTATTTGGAAATATATAGCTTATCAATATATTTGTCCGTTATGTCATTTGCTTGTAGTCAAAACATTTCTTAACCTTTTTCCTTGTAAATATGTATCACCATATTGCAATATTCTTCTAGTTTAATAAATATCTCAAAACCTTTTTGGACAAAGTTTCATATTCAATTCATCATTATACGAGCAATTTGACCGTAAGTTTTAATATCATTTGTGTTTTTACAAGGAATACGGACTGTAGATTATATGTATAAATATGCAATAGCATTTATCTTGGTCAAACGCTAATATATTGTAACAGTAACAAAATGTGACTCGAAATAAAATTTACAATCCGTATTTCTAGTAAAAATATGAAATAATATGAAAACTTACATTCCACTACAACTTACAATCAAATTTCGTATTTCTCTCTCTCTCTATATATATATATATATATGGAATAAAGTTTTGGAACTCGCACCCAAGAACTCGAACTAGGCCTGGAAATAGACCAAGTAGACCAAGTACATTATCGATTCCCCAACTCTATTTTCACACCAAAATCTTAATATAAAAAAATCAAAATAATATATATTTTGTTTTGTTAAAGGTAAATCAAAACCTAAGTCTGTGAACTCGGAATCGAACCCGGAACCGAACCCGTGGCACTAGTATATGTATATATATCACTTCCCACACGATAGAGCCTTCACTTCAAATCTTTTCTACTTTTTTTTACGACACAATCATCTGTCTTCATTCCTCTATTTATGAAGATCATTCCCTTCTTCCTCCTCTATCCTCTTCGTAGCCGTTGTCCTTGCTCCACCACCACCATGTCCGAAGGAGCCACCACCTTCCAGTATTCTGGAGTCGTCGCTGCCGCCGTCGGAGTCAGGTAAAACATCGATTCCTTCTTCTTTTGCGTTTTTTTTCTTCGATGATGAAACTTTTTTTCTTTTGCAGCACCGGCTTTTCTACCGGGTTCTCCTCCTCCTCCTCCTCCTCCGGTGACTGACGGAGCCTTTGGTGGTGGGCGCATACCGAAACCAAGGAGCAAACCTCATGGTGTCGAAGCCAACTTCCCGGAGGAACCTTCTGGAGCGCCACACCAACTCGCCTTCAACCCTCTATACCTCAACTCTGGAGCCGTCGCTGCCGCTGTTGGAGTCAGGTAAAACATCGATTCCTTCTTCTTTTGCATTTTTTTTACGACACAATCCTCTGTCTTTGTAATATTCCGATTCCCGTATAAAATATTTACTTATTCTTAAATACAAAGTTAACAAGTTTTCGAAAGTATTCATCTTCTCTCGATGAAATTTCATAAACTAATAAGTTTCTTTTATATTTTCACGAAATTAAAAAGCCGAATAAATGAGTTAAGATAATGATACCGTACATAAGTTACAAAAAACTTGTTTTGTATTATAATAAGAGGTTCTTCTTGTAGAACAAGTTCTATAATCTCCTATTTCCTCATCGCAATTATCTACAAATTGTGCATTACTGATCATTATAATTATCGAGAAAACAATATGAATCCATATGATCATGTAAAGCCTTATCATATTTGGATTAAGCTCTAGCTTTCTCCTTCTCCTTCTTTTCTCCAGATATCGCACGGTTTCTGTAATACCCCGATTCTCGTATAAAATATTTAAATTGGTTTCGGAAATAAAAGGAAGGTAAATCAAAGGCAGAATGGTGCGCGATTCACGAGTTATTCGAGGTACAGACATTTCGAGTTGTGCCTCATCCTGTAAACGTGAGTTTTCAATAGTCTATTGATTGGACATGAAAGAGAACGTTCCAAGAAAGGCGTAGAAACAAATGGTGCGCGATTCGGTTAAGAAACGAGTGAGAACAGAGCAATCGAAGTCAGTCGGAACGGACCAGAAATGCAGAACGGACGGACTGACAAAGGCAGAATGGACGAACTGCTAAAGGCGGAACGAACGGACCACGAACGAGCGAGGAGCAAGGCCGAAACTGGGCCCAGACCGTCCGTTTCAGGCCCAGAACGGACGGTCTGATGAACAGAGCATGCAAGTGGCCAACTTGCTGTCTTGGGACACATATTCCTCTGCATTCCAGGGCCCACCGGCGTCAAATCTCCGTCCAACCGTGCCAGGACGTTGCAGGCTTGACCTTGGGACTAGGCTCGAACCCATTTGATCTCTCTCATCCGTGAATAACACTTCTGCAAGCAGAGACTTAGCCATTATTCGAGCAGAAAGAGGGGAGAGAAGAAAGGGGGAGAAAGAGAGAAGAAGGGCGAGAAACAGGGGGAACCAGAACAAGAAGAGCTCAGGAACTCCAAGGGGGACATCCCTAGAGTGTTTAGAAGAGGTTTTCGGTGAGTAACAGACCGGAAAACGGCAACAAATCCAGTCAAAACCAGATCTGAGGTGAGTGGCTCGAGTTGCGTCTGTGTTAACTCGTTTTTGTCGATGTGATTGTGTTATTTCGATGGTTTGTTGCTTGGATTAGATAGAAGACACTTCAATAAAGATTTAGCAACAAGCCACACATGATTTGGTTGAAAAATGAGTGAGATATGATTGAATGAAGACTGAAGAAAAACTGCAAAGTGCAGAAACGAGAATCCGTCTTGCCAAATTACGAATCCTTTTCCACCGTGTTATGGAAGTATTTCAATACTTGATTGCTTGGGTTAGATAGAGAACATTTCAATGAACATTTAGCAACAATCGACACGTAATTTAGTAGAAAAATGAGTGAGATATGGTCAAACGAAGTCGGACCAGAAAGTTGTTTCGCGAAAGAGAACAGAGCTGGACCCGACGGTCTGCTTTGGTAGACCCGACGGTCTGCATTCCATTCCTCAAAAATTGTCCCGAGAGGCCCCGGAACGGCATGGGATCCCTGGACCGACCGGTTCACACCCTGGACCGACCGTTCTAGGGTACGAAACCCTTTTTCGGACGATTTTCGAATCCCACGTGCGTGAGATGTGTGATTCAACAGTGCCAGTGACTCGTTGCATGATTATACGGGGTAGTTTACATGGCGTTAAGCGGTAGATCGATAAGGGACCAGATACCGTGATACGTGTGATTGTATTGGGGAATATATACATGATGTGTGCCATGTGTATAGCTTGCTCGTGCGTACGAGTCAAGCATGATTGTGTTTGTGGATGGTTGTGGACACAACCATCACCGTCATGGACTTGACGGGCGTTTGAAACGCGTTTAGTCGTGTGCGACACGACGATCAACGTCATGGACTTAACGGGCGTGTGACGCGCTCCTAGTCATGGACTTGACTAGGGTATATGGCTGGAACCCTATGGTGGACTCCATACGGGTGATATGATCGATTGTGTCATGCTGACTTGACCCGGCCAACGTCATGGACTTGACGGGCGTGGAGACATCCCTAGTCATGAACTTGACTAGGGTATATGGCTGGACCCTTTGGTGGACTCCATACGAGTGTGTTTACTTTTCCGTTGTGTCATGGACTTGACATCGGTAGTCATGTGACGTGACAAGCGCTTGAGGCGATATTGTCGTGTGATGCGACGGCCAACGTCACACGAGTGGTGGGCGTGTGATGCACACATAGTCATGCTGACTTGACTAGGGTTTATGGTTAACCCAATGGTGGACTCCATGCGGGTGAGATTGTGATTGTTATTATATGTGTGATGCACGTTCTGTGATAATGCATGTTATTATTGCTGCATGTGATTGTGAATCATCGTTCTAACACTGTTCTCGCTGAGAACGGGTTTACCGGGTTCAACCCGGGCTATTCACTAAGTAGTTGTGTTTAGCCCTCGTGGTTTTACATTTTTTTCAGATCACGAGGATTACACCTAGTGCACGGACGATGACGACCTGAGAGAAGCAGCATCATGTACGGGATTTTATTTTGAACCCCGGGACTCGTATTCCCGCATTTTGTACGGCTATGTTATGAATTTTTGGACATGTGTTGCTTTGCGATACTGATCGCTTGTATTTTCCGCTGCTTACTCTGGTTAGATTAAAATGTTTTTGGATTTCGTATATTCGCTTCCGCAAATTATTATTTTATCGTTATATCATCCGTGTGGCATAGTCTTTATACTGTATACGGGTTACGGGTGTCACAGTCTTCATTCCTCTATCCTCTTCGTAGCTGTTATCCTTGCTCCACCACCACCATGTCCGAAGGAGCCACCGCCTTCCAGTATTCTGGAGCCGTCGTTGCCGCTGTCTGAGTCAGGTAAAACATCGATTCCTTCTTCTTTTGCGTTTTTTACGACATAATCCTCTGTCTTCATTCCTCTATCCTCTTCGTAGCCGTTGTCCTTGTTCCACCACCACCATGTCCGAAGGAGCCACCGCCTTCCAGTAATCTGGAGCCATCGCTGCCGCCGTCGGAGTCAGGTAAAACATCGATTCCTTCTTCTTTTGCGTTTTTTTTTTCGATGATGAAACTTTTTTCTTTTGCAGCACCGGCTTTTCTACCGGGTTCTCCTCCTCCTCCTCCTCCTCCGGTGACTGATGGAGCCTTTGGTGGTGGGCGCATACCGAAACCAAGGAGCAAACCTGCTGGTTGGCGCATACCGAAACCAAGGAGCAAACCTCATGGTGTCGAAGCCAACTTCCCGGAGGGACCTTCTGGAGCGCCACACCAACTCGCCTTCAACCCTCTACACCTCACCTTGGTCATCATTCCTATAGTTGTAACTATAGGTATAGCTGTTTTCTATTGGTTCCATCGTTGGTAATTAGTTTTTATTATGCAAACAAAATGTACTTTTCTTTTCGAAGCTAATTAAAACGGTCATTAACAAAAAAAAGTTTGCTTTGTTTCAATCCTCCTTTTGGTCCTGATTGCTGTTTGGAATCCTGTGAAAGTCTCGGTTTGTACATGACCCTTTATTTTTTGATTATCAATCTATTTACCTTTACCAAAAAATAGATTGACATAGAAACCGATAATGATACAGAAACTATAGAGAATATCGTGGAAAAAACAAAGACATTTTAGGTAATAAATTGTTTATTTAATGTTGAAAATTTAAGGCTTTTTTTTTTGAAATTTTTTTCATTATTTCAGTTACTCCAAAAAGTTTATATTTCAATTTGTTATAAAAGCCTACCAATTATTAATTTTATTTTTAAAATATAATATATTTAATTTAATTTAAAAAAGAATATATATTATCTTTTATATAATTAATTTCTACACAAATTATAAACTAAATAGTTTTTAAAAACTAGATTAATGGTTTGAAACAATTCAAACAAAAATGAATCAAGAAAATTACAAATCTTACACAATCATTAATTCAATCAATAAAATATATTAAACTTTTATATTAAAAAAAGTATAGTAATTTCAATTTTATTTGTCAAGATAAAAACTAAATATTTATTTTTCCGGACACAAAGGAATGCTTCTCCATGCAATCATTCATAAGCTTGTTTATACACGCATGGTTGTAAAATCTTTTCCAATCCCAATGTTGTTTGATTCAGTTTGACAATTCATCCGATAAATTCAGAAGAATTTGGAATTAGTCAGAGCAAGGCACAATTGTGTGGTATTACATTTTCTGGAATGCAAAGTTTAACCGACCTTAGCTCAGTTGGTAGAGCGGAGGACTGTAGTGTGATTGCAGAATAATCCTTAGGTCGCTGGTTCGAATCCGGCAGGTCGGAAATGCTTATTTTTTGTAGTTTTTACATTATTCCACGTGTCAAAAATCTAGTGGATTAAAAAACCCTTTGACCTCCTGACCAATATATGATTTTATATATATATATATATAATCGCCCACTGATGTTCTTGGGAGATTGACTAAGATGTCAGGTTTTCCGGTGGCCGGAAAGTTGTTCAAAGTTTTCCGTACACTTCCCGGCGAGACGTACTGCGGTATGACGACATGCTCCACATGTTGACATGGATGCTTATGCTTAACCCCGAACATTTGCAAAATTATGGGATTCCTCAAAATCTCTGGTACTCCATCTGCGACCGCAATAACCCTATCCTCCCTCACGTTTAAAAAAATAATCACAAATCAGTGAAATCACTGCATGGTAAATTTGGTTAATTATCAATTACTTTTACCTAAACCATACAACAAATAACTATTTTAGTTGGTCTATAACCGGAGTGCAAATGGTGCATTTGAATAGGGTCCCTAATTTTTTAGGGCCTCATTTTTTTATAAAAAAAATTATGTTATTTTTAATTTTTAAAAATTGAGTCATAAAGTTTTTAATTTTTTTATAATGTTATCATAAAAAATAATTATAAAATTAGTTTTCTATTTTATGATTGAGAAAATATATAATTTTAAGAAATCTCAATATGTATATATATATATTAAAATTGATTAAAAAATAAAAAAAAATAGATATAAATATATAGTATATGCACGGGCTTCCGTTAACAATGAGACGACCTTGTCTATATCGGCATGCATGTATATATATAATACTATATTATTATAATAAAACTAACCATGGTGTTTTGCAAAATTATGGAATTCTTCAAAATCTCCGGCACTCCATCTGCAATTGCCCTATCCTCCTTCACATTTTTAAAAAAATAATCACAATCACTGCATGGTAAAAATCTCGTTAATTATCAATTATTTTTACATCATACAACTATTTGTGTTGGCCTATATATCGGCATGCATATATATAATACTATATTATATAACTAACCATGGTGTGAAAGCAGGAGCCAAAGTCATGCGTGGCGACGAAGACGTGGTCCGAGCCACGGGCCCGGTTCCATAACGGGACCGGGTGGAGACTAGTCGGACCGTATCACAGATCAGAGTTCGGGTGTGTCCGATCGCGGGAAAGCCGTTGACGGTGCTGAAGCTGCACGACACGTACACCGGAACGAAGAAGGAATCAGCCTCGTGCGGATCCTCCTTCCGTATGCCGGCGGCTCCGAGCAACGCTCAGTGCAGTGCCACCTCGTTGTGGAGCCCGTCGTTGTTGAACTTCGGTGATCATTCGCGTATACGTATATTTCCAAGCCGTTGAGTTTTCCTACAACGGGAAAAAAATTGTATTATCAATATCGTATTTTGTGTTATGTGTTTTACGCAATGTTATATTTTTAGAACAATGACCGGATTGTCTGATATGAGCTGAAATTGTAATATATGATGATTACACGTAACTAAAAATTTCCGTTATGTTCGGAAATAACATTAATTGAAACGAATCTAACTGCTGAAAACACGAAGTGGATCATATATGTATATATAATTATATATATGTATGTATGTATCATGTCTGACCTGGTTTGATAATGGGATCTTGACGGAGGGATTCAGATTCGATCATGGCGCGAGAAGCCATGAAAAAATTAGATTTAGGGTTTGGAAGAATAGTAGACGAATTGGACGACGTCGTATGGTCATCATGACCATGATCATGGTCGACGAAGAAATAGAGGATCCATTTGTAGTGCTGTCTGAAACAGAAGCTCTTCTCATGTCTCGTCTGTTTCTGTGTCATCGTCTTCTTCGTTCTCAGATTGCCTCAGAAACGAGAAGCTCGAGTTACCATGTCATCGACATGATCGATCGTTTAGGGTTTTGAAGTAAGGTTTAAGTTGGTGAAATGGTGTTTTCTGTTTAGGGTTTTCACGAGTTAAAGCAGAGATTAATTAGGGAGACTTCCGTTAAATTTAGAGCCATTATCATTTTCCGTAGAAATTTGGAAAGATTTTTTGAAAATTGAAAAACTTTGGAAAAGTTCTACATTTTTCTGCTAAATTAAAACAGTTTTCTTTACAAAAAAAATGTTTAGTTTTTTTATTATTTTAGCACATTTTAACAATTTTGTTTATTTTTATTGGATTTTTCTTTCTAAAATATATTGTTTGGCTGATAAAACAAGAATAATATTATAAATTAAAAATTAAGGCTTTTCTTAAGAAACAAATTAGACAGAAACAAGAATTATATAGATTCCATTTATTTAATTTGGAATTTCACCATGATTGATGAAAGTCTCGGTTTGTACATGACCTTATTTTTTTTATTATCAATCTATTTACCTTTACCCAAAAAAAAAATGACAGAGAAACCAATAATGATACAGAAACCATAGAGAATATCGTGGAAAAAAAACAAAGGCATATTAGGAAATATACATATAAATTAAATTGATTTATTTAATGTTGAAAATTTAAGGGTTTTTTTTAAATTGTTTAATTATTTCAGTTACTCCAAAAAATTTATATTTCAATTTGTTATAAAGCCTACCAATTATTAATTTATTTTTAAAATATAATATATTTTATTTCAAAAGAAAATATATTATCTTTTTATATAATTAATTTCTACACAAATTATTAACTAAATAGTTTTTAAAAATTAGATTAATTGTTTGAAACAATTCAAACAAAAATGAATAAAAAACAACAAATCTTACACAATCATTAATTCAATCAATAAAATATATCAAACTTTTATATTAAAAAAGTATAGTAAATTCATTTTATTTGTCAAGGTAAAAACTAAATATTTATTTTTCCAGATACAAAATTCATTTGAATGATAGAATATTCAAATAAACGACAGTTTAACACTAAAATATCAAGATAAAATTTTATTTGTTTCCACAACCTCTTACAGAATTTTGTATTTAGCAAAATATTTTTTTCGTGTATTTGATTTTTTTAAGAATTAAATAAAATGTTATTTTTTATTTTTTATTTTCTTTTAAACATTGAGGCGAATTTCTTATTTAAATTTAGCCTTCCCAATTTTTAGGTGATACTTTTGGAGTGTCGCACCAACCCACCTAGTTTCCATCGCCTCCCTCCTCAAACCTCTCTCTCTTCCCTGTCTCTTTCTGTGTCTCTCTCTCGATCTTGCCCCAACGTTCTGATTCAGATCTCTCGAGAGATTCCTCGGTGCAGCTAGGACACGATCAACGCCCGAAGGATGCAGAGCACGGCGGCGTTCTCTTTCTCTCCGTCGCTCCCTGTCGTCAAACCACGGCGGCTCTCGCACCACCAATCGCTGGTTAACCCTAGGTTCTCCGTCTCTTCCTCTTCAGGACGCCACGATCTGAGCGTTTCCCCCAATGTCGTCTCTGTTCCGTCTTTGCCTCGCCGATCTTGGCGTTTATGCTCACCCGATTTGCCGCTCCGGTCGTGGTCCGGCGTCTCTTCGGTCTCTCCCGGTTCCGAATCGAGCGGGTTCGAGGCCCAGGCTGCGGAGATCCCTGATAGCGTCGGGGAAGGAGAGAAGAGTGGTGGATTGATGAAGACGCTAGAGCTCGGGTTGTTGTTTGGTCTCTGGTACCTTTTCAATATATACTTCAACATCTACAACAAGCAGGTTTGTATTCTTATTTTCATATTTTGTGATTTCTAATTTCCCTATTGGCATTTTATGTTTTCTTGTGTATATGGAAGCTGAAATGTATAGTCGACGTCTCATGCTTTGCTTTCTGTGTTTGTTTGGTTTTCTGATAGTCCCAGATATCGAAGATTTTACTAGGTTGAATTAACGTTCTCGTGATGTGAAGAAGATACGAAATGAGTTTAGCTTAATGATGTTTTCTCGGGATGATCAGAAAAAAAAATTAGAAAATAGGAAGAACAAATTCAGATATGATTGGATCTTATTTATAATCAGAGGAAATTAGATCTTATTTCTGAATTTGTTCCTGTGCAATGTTGTTTTGATTGTTTCCTGAGACAACCAATAGTAGTTTCTGATTTTATCTCCCTGCAGGTTCTGAAGGCATACCACGTCCCCATGACTGTCACTCTTGCTCAATTCACTGTCGGAAGTGCGCTCGTTTTGTTCATGTGGACTTTCAACCTGTACAAGAGGCCTAAGATCTCTGGTGCCCAGGTGTTCTATCTTCTTCTGACCAAATGGTTACTTATTTTAGAGATGATGCTCACTCGCCGATATTCTTCTTGGTAGTTGGCGGCGATCCTGCCACTTGCAGCTGTGCACACTCTTGGTAATCTCTTTACCAACATGAGTCTCGGGAAAGTTGCTGTGTCATTCACTCACACAATCAAAGCCATGGAGCCGTTTTTCTCAGTTGTGTTGTCTGCTATGTTTCTCGGGGAGGTGAGGAAATACATTTATCTTGCGTTTCTAGCTGTCATGGATGCATTGATCTTCATGCTTATCTCACACATCCTGGTAGAGCTAGTTCGCTGAGAATTTTATGACTCACAGCCCATTCATTAGTATCTATACTAGTTGCTGGACATTGTTTGCCTAGGAATTACCAGATTGTTTCCACAAGGTGCTGGGATGTTTTCGTTTTTTCGACAAAAAATGAGGAACTTTAATGTTTTTCAAGTTCTGAGAGTATCTCATTGATGCTTAAGTGGTTTTATTTCTTCATTTAGATGCCTACTCCTTGGGTAGTTGGTTCCCTCGTTCCAATTGTTGGTGGAGTTGCTCTTGCATCAGTGACAGAGGCCTCTTTCAACTGGTAGGTTTGTTTGCAGGTTATTTCATCAGTGTACACACAGATTCATTGTTTGAAAGATTTAATCTGTATTTATTATTTGCGACAGGGCTGGATTTTGGAGTGCAATGGCGTCAAACTTGACTAACCAATCCCGTAATGTCCTGAGCAAGAAAGTCATGGTTAAGAAAGAGGTAAATGTCCTGTGTGTGGATCTACGTTATCATAGTCATGGTTTTTATTACAAAACAAAAGTACATTTGCCTCATTTCTGTACTCAAATTGTCTTCGGATCTCGGCAGGAATCTTTGGACAACATCACCTTGTTCTCCATCATAACAATAATGTCTTTCTTCCTGATGGCGCCTGTGACTTTCTTCACTGAAGGCATTAAGTTTACTCCTGCAGCTATCCAATCAGCTGTAAGTTTTGCGAAGCCCTTAGCAGTTTCCGTTGGTTGAAAAAATGTTTTCACTAATATGCTTTGACCTATGTGTTCCTGACAAACTATCTTCATTACAGGGCCTGAATCTTAAGAGCATCTATACAAAGGCTCTTATTGCTGCGCTCTGTTTCCATGCTTACCAACAGGTGAGGCTTCTCTTTCTTTTTTGCTGTTATATACTTAGTCATTTTCAAGTTCAATCATTAGAAAAGTTGAAAAGGGTAAACTTCGTTTCTGTTAACATACAACATGCCGAAGATTGGTCTCTTGTTGCATCCTTAAAGTCCATTATTTAGAGAAGTTTCTACTTTAGATCCATATTAGAATTTCAAATGCCTCTGTTGTCACTTCCAAACACTTGACCAGGTTGAACTTTGATTAGTTTAACATGCAATCTCTCTCTGTGCGATATGCAAATACAGGTGTCGTACATGATACTTCAGAGAGTATCTCCAGTGACACATTCTGTGGGTAACTGTGTGAAGCGTGTGGTGGTTATCGTGAGCTCTGTTATATTCTTCCAAACTCCCGTCTCACCTATCAATGCTATCGGTAAAAATTACGCTCCTTAACTGAGAAACTGTGAGTGATCCTTGAAACATCTTCTCGAGGAGTTTGATCAACTTTTGTTTTACCCTTTTTGCCACAGGAACTGGGATAGGTCTTGCTGGAGTGTTCTTGTACTCGAGGGTGAAGCGTTTGAAGCCAAAGCCTAAGACCGCTTAGAGAACCCCGCCAAGTGCTGCTGCTGAGAGGTACCACAGCAGTGTTTTATTCTTTGGCAGGCTTTTTTGCGAAAGTAGTAAGTACGTGGAACCATGTTTTTCTTTTCATGCTAAATCTAGCTTTAAGGTTTCTTTTTCAAGTACATGGAACCATGAAGTCGTTTTTATGTTATTCGAAATATCTTGTCAAGATTTTGAGAGAACTGGGAAGATTCCGAATGCTAATCAAGTTATAATCATTGTTTTCATCGGTTCTTTTCTATTGAGCGAAATCAAGGAGGGAGAAAACTGTGCAAAACTAAGAGTTTGAGTCCGACAGAAGTGCAATTGATGTCTTTTGTAAGGAAATTTAAAGGATAAAGAGGGATTAGATTGGGTACAACCGAGATGGGTTGAAGGCGGAGAAGGGTACCTGTGGTTTTCGTTGGTACCTGAAATTTGAGAACCCGACCACCGGGGAGTGTGAGCGTAGGTGCGTATCAGCTGATTACCCGAACCGCGAGTTGGAGTTCAAGATCCGTCTGCGTGCTATCCAAACCCGTGGATAGCCAATGGAGAGGGGAAGAGGGAAAAGAGGGAGAGAGTGTGAGAGGCGGGGAGTCTCACGGAACTCGAGCTTAAGAATTCGATTTCACAAGACCCGTTCAATACCATATCGGTCTAGTTTTTGTTTAATTTAAAACAAAGCTAGGGATTTAGGATTTCGAAGGCAAACCAGAAATTGTCGATCCAACCCTCTTTGCAATAGATTTTTGCCTCGCCTCATTTTGGTCGAGAAACTCAAGGAGGGCGAGGCTGAAGCTGGGTGGATCGAGCACTCGGGTACCCGTCGGCATCCACCCCTACTTCAGATTATGTCAGGGTTGGATCCGTGATTTCTTCCCCTTGACTTTTGCTTCTTCTGTGTCTGGAAGAAAACCTGGTTTTACCTTCAGCACATGAGACTGGCTGAGATACATACATAGGCTGACATCCGGGCAAAAATCACCATAGCACGGTCCGGTTTTCTTACTTGTCGGGTTATCTTCTTGGTTGCTGCACCAAGTATCGGCTGACGTCAAGTGACGAGGAAGAAACCGAAAAAAACGATGACTTGATCGCTCGTAAAGATCGAATCCACTTGTATTAGCGAATCATCCAGACATTTCAGAAGCATCCTAGTGGATGCAAAGCTTCATTTGTAATGAAACTTAATTAGACGAAATCCAATGACAAACAAATATACTCATACATAATGTTTGATTTAAAGAACTTGTGTGTGTCTCTGACGTCTGTTGAGATATTACACTCATGAGCACCGTATCATTGGTGATTATTCTCTATTTGAAAGACAATGGCGTACATTTACGAATAGTATATGATAGTTTATAAAACGAAAAGGAAAAAAAAAAACAAAAAGCCGGAGCATAAGTGCTGTTTTGTCGGACAAAATGTCAAAGCTTTCGTGGAAATCAGAATCCGTGAACAAAGGCATCCATGTCAGTAAGGGGAATGTCGTCGAGCAAAGAGTCGATGCTGCAACCTTCCTCCAGCATCTTCTCGTCGAACCCGAAATCGTATAGCCCCTGACCTTCCTCCATTTCCTCGGGTTCCTTCTCGTTCTTCTTCTTGTGCTTGCGCCTGCCTCGGGCCGGGATGGAAGAGGACGAGGCGTCTAAGTTCAAGCTCTTGATGTAATCCTGCAAGAGAGAAGGGCGTGGGAACTTGGACCTGCATTTTCTCTTGGAGAACTGCCTTCTCTTTGTTGCGTTCCAGTGGTTCTTGATCGAGTTCTCCGTCCTTCCCGGTAGCCTCTTCATGATCTCCGCCCACTTGTTTCCGATCTCTTTGTGAGCCTCTATCAGTATCTTGTCCTCGTCCTCGCTCCATGTCTCCTTCTGCATTCCCCCCGATCAACATTGTCGTATACGTATACGTATATAAATATGTATATATGTATGTATGTATGTACCTTGATGTCAGGTCTCAAGTGATTGTGCCATCTCTCCCGACACTGCTTCCCGATCCTCCCGGGAAGCATCTGAGCGATGTGGGACCATTTCCTCAATCCGTATTGTTCCACCAGTTGAATAAGAATCCTACGTAAACGTATTTCGATAAAAACAGAATGATTTAACCGAAGATTACTTGTTTGCGGATTCAATATATTAAGCATCTTAATGTTGATTTACCTGTCCTCCTCAACAGTCCATTGCCCTTTGACTACGGTTGATCTTTTTCTTCCTTTCCATGACTTCCTCGTCGGAAAAGCTCTACTCTTGTCCAACCCTCCCCCAGCATTGTGGGAATTGTTCTCAGCAGAAACGCATGAGACTTCGTCTGGAATCACGAAATTCACGGGCTTGATGACATCTGCATGGTAATCAAATGGGATCGTCATCATCATCGCCGTCGTCATCATCATCATGTTGCTTTGTTCCGGGATACGATGATCGAACAGACGAGGAATGTTGCCGAAGTAAGGATTGTTTTCTCCGGTCTGGTATTTGTTCATTACGCGTCCACCGCCGATAACGTTCAAGCTGTCTGAAAATGGCTTAGACTCGTAAGAGCCGATGTCTTCGGCCGATGAACAGACGTAAGGGTAAGGCTCAAAAGGGTCATTACAAGCGGTCTGGACACCGAACAAAGGATTCGAAGATGACCCGTCAACGTTAAACGGGTCGAGATGGTGAAAATCTTGAAGAAAGTTCGTGGGTTTCGATTGATTTGGGATCTCGAATGGGAAATCTTCATCCTCCTCAACGCTTTCTTGGGGCTTCATGTGTTGCTGCTCTTCTTCAGTTAAGAAGAGTGTTTGGCTGACAGGAAAATCGCTCTCGTCAAAATTTTCCATCCCGAGAAAATCCCCCACTTTTTTTTTTGTCTGCCTCTGTTTTTTTCTCGTACGAGGTTTATGCGATTGCCATGAGAACTGCTGTCGAGTAAACTTGTCGTGTTGTCTCGTGTTTGGATGTTACATTTAAGAAACGAAATTTGGGCATTTATTATGTGCTTTTATCATACCCCCATTTATTATGTATTAATATAATACGCATAACGTTTCAAGTCTCAAATGTTTTGGTCATATCTATTTACTCGTCCCTTGTTTTTTTATTTTCCATCATTAAATGTTTGGTTAGAAAAATATCTACGGAAATTCTCTGAAGGTTGGAAAGTCAAAGGCATTGATTACCATTCTTAAAAATGACCATCTAGTATGGTAATGGCGAGGCGCGCGTGGACTTTTTCTTACATTTGGAAACCAAACTTTTATTCAATAAAATTTTTTTGGGTACATTTTGATTTTATCCCGATGTGGAGAAAACTATTCTATTTATTTTTTTAATATCCGATTCAATCAACACGAATTTTGAAACCGAAATTATTTGTAGGTTAAATTCGGATTAAAGTTTCGCGGTTTGATTATTGGATGTCTATGTATGTATACGTGAGGTAACTACGAAAACTCTTTTTTTTTTTTTTATTAATAATCATTACAAAAGTATCTTTAAATATTTTTAAAAATTACTAAACTATTCTTGATCTTTTTTTTTAAAATTACAAAACTGTTCATTAATTTTTAAAATTACGAAATTATCCTCGATGGTTTTACGAAATTTGGCACGAATATCCAAGATCCTCGAATACGAAATCAGATTTCAAATCCTAATGCCGAACCTTAGATTATAGATTGCAATGCCATTGAACAAATTGGTAGGGGTGTCAAACGGGCCGTCGTGACTCGTGACCTGAGTCCATATTCAATTCAAAGTTTTTAAGTTTGGGTTCGATTGGTCCAAATTTTTCGCGTCTCTCAGGTTCTCATTAACTGATTCGTGTCCAAACTTAATAGAACACTAATTAGTAAGGATAGACATTTGATTCGGTTATTTCGGTTATTAATCAAACCGAATCGAATAACCGATTGGTTATTAATTTTAAAAATCCAAAATAATCAGACTAGAACAGAATAAAATAAATAACAGTTTGGTTTTAAGTTGTTAATTTTTTTCTTTAGATTTTGATAATTATATACATTATTTATAACCAAATCTAAATTAACCGTAACCGAATTGAACCGTTCGCCCATCCCTACTAATTAGTTTTGGAGAAGTAAAAGAGTGATTCCTGTCACGGGTCATAACCTAACAAAGTTAAGTCTACATGTTCTTTCTTCTACTTCCAAAATCAAATATTTTTAACACAAGTACGTATTTTTTTTCCTGGAAACATTAGAACTATTAAGTCAAATGTATTGCAAGAGAGAAAACTCAGGTCGTACGGAAACACCATACGCATTAAGGAAAAACACGTGTAGAAGCAATAAATGATTAAAATGAGATACTACTAATATTGAAGACTTGGAGATCTGTTTTCGGCGACATGTATACAAATTTAACGTTTTGATCCATGGACACTTTTGATTCATAAACGGCGTCGTGTTTTGTCATCTACAAAAGCTTTGTGGAGTTAGTGACAGGACGAGGACTCATATCTCTATTTGGTGAGACTTATCATTCGGACAGGGCGCGCTGGTTCCTTCCCACAGCTCAGACAGGTCCTTCCTCAGCCATGACATGAACACCACCGGTCCTAACGTCGACGGTACCTACACCCGGTCGGGAAAAAACAAACGGGGTTGAAAATAGCAGAATGTGAATTACTTCTGCATAAACGGATGAGAAAACGATGTAAGGCCAGACAAACCACCGATTTTCCGTTAATGGATTTATAAGTACCCCTTTTGGCAAACGGAAAAATTCTGATTCTTCTACCGATGAAACTATATCGAGGTTAAAAAAAGATGAAGAAAAGTCTGACCAGACCTGTAGAGATGGCGAGATTTAATCTATAAAAGGGGAGCATACCAAGAGAGAGAAAAAGTGTTGTTATTACCAGGTAAAGTAAGGCGGGCTGAGGCGAGTGAGTCAAGACACCAGCAGCCAAGGCAGTTACAAGGCCAATGGCGTATCCAGGAAGAGCATACCAAATGTATTTGTGTCCCTTAGACGAATGAAGATCGAAAAGATTCACTACTTCCCTGGTTTTGCGATGGTCAAACCAGAGGACCAAGGCAAGAAGCATCGCCGGGATTGCCTGAAACAACATGAACAGACTGTTAAGTGAAAACCAATCTCAATTTCAAAAAAAAAGCGAGGGTTTTGTCCGTACCATGTCACCAAGACCGAGCATCATAAAGTCTGAGGCACTGACACCGGTAGCCACACCACCCAAGAGGTTTCGGGGAAAGACAATCTTTACTGGTAATTCCAGTTTCTTTGTGATCAACTGTAGACCGGGAAGATTCAAACTGCTGGCTACTGTGTGAACTGGGTTCGATGCTTGTTGGGTTGCCACCGACACCATAACGTTAGCACCAAAGAATCTCTCGGAGAAGAAAACCCAAAATATGTCATACACAAAGAGACATACTAAGAGCATGGCACATATTTTGATGTTAGGTAAGCGGACATGGCTCACAAACGCGATGCAAATGGAGATCCCCAGCACATTGTTCAAAATCCAATACCCAGAGATGACCCATGCCACAACTGTCATGGCACAAGCCACTAGCAATAACCCCTGGGTTCTTGTAAAAGATTTCGAACAGCAAGATGAAACAAAGGGGTCGGTCAGACCAAGCTGCGACTTGATATATGTCACGTATGGTGAAAACCAGAAGAAGAGAGATGAAACAGAGGCGATGGCTGTGAAGACAGTAAGGAGCTGGGAAACTGAAGAAAACAGATAGAACATCAAAAGCAAACTGCACGAGCTCATTACTGGGATCATCAATGCTTGGGACCTATCCAATGTAATAGATGCTTCAGATAAGTCACGATTTCTCTCCATCTCTTTTCCGTAGTTAAGTGCACGGAAAGCAGATGCAAATGTCACTGTGACAGCTGTAATTATGAGAGTAACTGGAGCAGGTTCTAGCAAATACAACAGCTTCCATAAAGACTCCATGATTTGAGAAGAATTCCTTCCAATTAAATATCTTCCTGCAAGTTTCATGTGCATGTAAGTGAATATGATTTTTGGTTTTGGAGTTTCAGTATTTTTGCAAGTTGCAACATAAACTAAACAGAGTATATCATGCAACTGGGAAAAGGATATTACCAAACACGCTCATATAAGATGAAATAAAAATGCCAAAAGCCACCGAGACTACAAGATTAGCATAACAATAGTAAGTACTATCCTCAAAAACAATTCACTAAATAGAACTAGCTTTAAAGTTTCAAACGCCAATTCCTGTCTTCACTTTCCCATAAATATTCAACCAGCTAATCACATTAAAAAATCCATATTGAAGTAAGTCTCGGATGTTAAGAGATAGATATTAGAAACATAAAATTTTCCCAGTCTGTTTTTTTAGACTTCCTTGGCATTCTGCTCTCACAACTCCATCCAAAGAGTAGATGAACAGACATCTATTTGTCTTCCGACCACACAATCAAACTATTACTTTTCCTTTTTCCTTTTCAGCTCATGACCGCAAAATGCAATATTCCTACTGATTTCTTCTCCACACACAATAAACAAAAAGTCAGAGCTCAGAGAGCAAAATGCACGCATTTTCGATCATTTTCCAGTCATTTTCCCAACAACTCAACAGGCGTTGTTTCTACTTCCATATTCACCTACCCCTAATAATGAAAGGGGAAAAACTCCAACAAAATCCAAATCAAAACCCTAGAATCATCTTGTGTGATGGCATAAAGTACTTCAAAAGCGTGAACAAAGACACCCTAAATCGATCCAGATATGCCATAAAATAAACTATTCACAAGCCAAATTTGGCATTCTCTGAAACATTATGAAAAATTAGAGGGCCAAGATTCAGACCTTTTGACAACAACCGAAACAAAATTGACCCTGATTCAAGATCAAGAAAGAACAAGAGACAACCGAAACAAACCAAACAGGATTGGACAAAGACAGAATTCATTTCAAACTTGTAATAGAGCTGGTTCTGAACCGAAACCAGAACCAGATTGTTCCGCTTCAACCAGAGTTTAGACTGAACACGATCAAACATAGTTCGCCACCAAACACATGCACAAAGATCAAGAATCACACAAAACAAAACAATGTAGTACGTAAGAAATGAACCAGAATTGAAACAATTGCAAAGCCACAAATGGAACGGAACTAACACTCAACCAAGCTATCTCTGGTGTTGAAAGTTGAAACACAGCTAAACTAACCCAGAAACAGAGATAATTCTTGCAGCAATTATTTAATATTAGTCAACTGAGTAAACTGCAAACTCAACCTGGGTAAACGTAAATGATCAGGAAACGTCAAACAACCTCTTGAAGAACATATAATTCAATTCTTGCACTCGATTCAAAAATCTATCCCATTTAGTGTTCCCATCAATAAGTGCGTCACCAAACAATTAAAAAAAACTTACTAACATGCAGAATTGAATTGATGGTTGTCCAAATATGCAGAAAACTATAGAAGTTACTGCAATATAACGAAAGTTACTAAACCCATATTCACTCAAACAAACAACTCCACAACAAAAGATTTCATAGTATCTGTAAATTCCTATGAAATGTGTAATAAAATGAGCTCTATGAGATTATGTGATCTTCCAATCAGCTCAGGAAAATACAGAAAACTACCTCTAGCAAAACCCATATTACAACAAGAGCAAACCCCAAACCTCTGCTTCTTAGGAGCTAAATTTCATCCTAAGGAATTACAACTACAAGCTTAGATCATAAACTTGTACACAAACATATACAGATACTCATAAATCTCATCTCAGACATCAATCTGAAATAAAATCAGAAAAGGTAATAATAAGAAAAAGAAGCAACGATCGAAGACAAATGACATCACTTACACTGAATTTATGGCGAGAGATAGATCAAGCGGTCGTACCGCGCCGGAAAAAGCAGCAACCCCGGAAAACGAAAAAATCACCGGTAAATCTGGAGCCGCAACAGAGTGAAGTGAAGATATGGGTTCAGAATTTCGTAGAATTCGCTCAAAACCGAAAACCTATTTCAATCTCGATCAGTTCACCTTTCGGAATCAGAAGCAGAAATTCTAGATCCCAGCGAGAAAGCAAGCCAAAACGAGACTTTGTGATTGAAATGGAAATAATCAAGAGCAGTGGTGACGGTGCAACGGGTGTCTTCAGCAGCGGTGCAGCGGTGGCCGCCGGCGAAGCAAAGGTAGAAGAGAGCGACCGATCCCGAGAGTTTTATTTTTTCTCTCGGATGATGTTTTAGGGTTTTCGTGGTTTCTTTTTGTTATGATGTAAATAAATTTAAATATCAGGGATAAAATTGTATTCCATGTTAGTTTGACTTTTGATAATGTATTTTAGCCCGAAATTTGTCACTCCTTAGCAGGAGACATCTCGCTTGCCTTTCGTGGAAATCGGACTGTAAAAAATATGTGATCACGCTATAGATGAAGTTACATCTATTTTATCAGTCAATTTGTCAAGACGTGTAAGCGGTTGAACCCTTCATACCATACCATTGTTCAACATATGACATCGTGAGACAAAAGATCAGAATTCGAGCTATTGCTGACTTTGTTAGATCACCTCTAACTCTATTCTAGGTGGGTGGTCATGACGTATTGTTAGAGGTGAACCCTAGATCGATGAGATCGTATGCTAGAAATCCGTAGATAACCCAATAAATATCTCAATGGTTTGTTGATTGGACTTGAAAGAGGATGTTTCCATGAAGATTTAGAAAGGGGCACTGGATTTGGAACGAAAATTGAAGAGAAACTGAAATTTACAGAAACACGAATTATACAAGGTACAAGTATTGCGAATCGTTTCTCAACATATAAACGTGGGTTTTCAATAATATATGGCTTGGACATGAAAGATGACATTCCTATGAAGGTTTAGAAACAAAAGGTGTGCGATTTGGTTAAGAAACGAGTGAGAATGGAACAATCGAAAATGAACTATGCAACTCAGTCCGAACAAACGAGAAAGTCAGTCCAAAGGGACTATGTAAGTCAGTCCGAAGGGACTTGTAAGTCAGTTCGAAGGGACCAAAAAGGCAGTCCGAAGAGACCAGAGAGGCAGTTCGAACGGACTATACAAGACAGAGTGTCGACAACCACTTTAGTGCGCGACTTTCTCGCACATGGACGACCCACAACCCACTCAAACGCCACCAACCCGACAAAGTGTGATCCTAGCTAGCCCCCTAGGGTTAATAATTAATTTTCTCTCTCTCCCTAGGCTCCATAATTGTCTCTCCAACCCTCTTACTCAACCATTTTTGGACTGGGAAGTTGCAGAGGAGAAAGAGGAGAAAAGAGAGTGAGAGGGAGAGAAAGAAGAGGAGATGAGAGAAAGGGAGCTCGGAAAAGGGTTGGAAAACATCTCTAGAGTGTCCAGGAAGAGATTCCAAGGCGGAGGAGCCCAGAAACATCACTCAATCTCAGCCAAATCAGATTCAATGTACTTTGACTGCGTCAAATGTCGTCTTTAACCGGATGATTATAAAGGCGTGGCTCGGTTACATTACGAATCATGAAATGGATAATAGATAGTCAAGATGGAACTTTATCCCTCTCGAAAGAGAGAGATATCGCTTGGGCCCGTCGTAGGAGTGAGACTGTAGAAATGTGTGGTCGCACTATAGATGAATGTCATCTATCTCTTACAGTCTACTCGGGACACGACAAACACTACAAGAAAAACTGTAATTTGCGACCGAAAAATCTGTCGCAACATGAAGAAGAATCGGTCAGTAAAAAATAGTTGCGACCGATTACGACCGATGGATGTCGGTCGCTAAATCGTTGTCGCAAAATCTGTGTGGTCGTGATTCTGTCGCAACGTTGCGACCGACATATTTGTAGGTTATCGGTCGGTAATATACGACAGATGGCTAAGGTCGGTAATCTGTCGCAAATTGGTGAATTGATTTCTGTCGCACATTGCGACAGAAGTAGGAGTAGGTATTCAGTCGCTACGTAACGACAAATTGCGTCAGTCGCACTCTGTCGCAAAATAACGACCAAAAATAGCGGTAGGTATTCGGTCGCAATTGTCCGACTAAATTCATTGGTCGCACGCTGTCGCAAATGTAACGACAAATTGAATCAGTCGCACTCTGTCGCAAATGTAACGACCAAATATAGCGGTAGGTATTCGGTCGCAATTTTCCGACTAAATTAATTGGTCGCACTCTGTCGCAAATGTAAAATTTGTAAAACAAATATTAATAAATAATAATTATTTAAATTCAATTAAAAATTTAAAAATAATTATAAAAATATAAAATAAAAATTATTTATTTAAAATTAAAAAGTATTTATTAAATAAAAAGTATTTAGTAAAAACAAATTAAACACTAAACAAAAAAGTTATCCGGATTGTCTGATCCGGTTGTTTGGTCCGCTGGTGTCGTAGAAGGTCCGACTCCGGGCTAAAGAGTCAAAAATGGGTTGAACGGCATATCTTGCGCCGTTGGTGGGTCGTCTCGAGGAGGAAATAGCCGGGCGAAAAGCGTCTCGTAACGCGCAATCCGTGCCTCAGCTTCTTCAAGTCTAGCAATCTTCCTGCGATCCTCCTCGAACTCTTCAATCTTTTTCTTCAACAGCTCGACCTCCCTAGTGAGTGAGACGTGGTGACCGATCGATGTTGCATCCGGATGACCACCGAAAGTTGGGTCGATCCACAACTCTCCTCTAACTGGGAGAGACGATCGGTGATCTTTGCCTGAATCGCATCCTCAATTTCCTGAACCCGATCGCTGATATAAGTACCGTCAGCTCGACGGTGAGTCTCCTGCAGCAATCGCAACGCAGAAGGTTCTTCACCTTCCTTCTGCATCTGCACCCAAAAAATTTAATTAAAAATATTTAAAAAAATTTTAAAATAAATATTTATTTACTTACTATCTCATGGGCGACTCGAGCAAATGATCTCCGTCCTGCAGTGTGGGTCGGGGGTGCGCGTTCGACCTCCGCTCGGGATCGTCGATTGCTTGAGAATGTTTGACTCTTCTGCATTCCCTCTTGTGAATCCCAATACTCAACTAGCTGATCGTAGATCGCCGTCGACATCCATGCAGGTCGTACGCGTCTGCTCTTTACCCGATAAATGTTGTCCTTGAGGCGATCTCGGACGGCGAGCTTCCAAGCGGCATAGACTCGGTCATGAACAGACTCGTCCCAATAATAAGCTTGCTATAAAAAAAAAATAAAATTATAATTTTGTATGCATATATATAAAATTGAACTGTGCCAAAATTCTTACCGCAAAAGCTCCAAACCAACGCTGCAGATCAGATGGAGGGACACAGGTGAAACTCCGCCACGGACCTTTGAAGTCCGACTGAAAGATGCTAACGACGGATGAAATCACGTCGTTATTACGACCAAACCTGTAAAAATCGAATTCGTAAAATTAATTTAAAAGAAATTAAAATAAATATATATTATATGCACAAAAATACATACCAAATAGAACCGGGGGAACGATCCGGATCTAGACGAGGTCGGAGACGACGTTCTGCAGACGTTAGAATCTCCTGCAACGATGCCGATGGCGATGCACCATGACTAGATGCACCTTCATTCACGGATTGGGGGGAAGCCGCACCCGTGAAAGGTACATCAAGTCGAGGAGGATCGACTACCACCTGATCCCGATGGACAGATGGTGATCTAGATGATCCGATCCCACGTCCTCGGGATCGTACCCCGCTACCACTACGACCACTAGAATGGGAGTGACTCATCTACAAGTTACATATAACAAAACAAAATCATGAAAACCCGTGAACTAGCAGTAAACCCTAACCCTAAACCCTAAATACTAAAAAAGCTATCTAAAACCCTAAATAAACCCTAAAATCTTGCGACGTGTTTTTAAACCCTAAATAAACTGTAAACCCTAAATAAACCCTAAACCCTAAACCCTAAAATCCTAAATTCACCCTAAATCCTAAAATGAACCCTAAACAAACCCTAAATCTCAAAATAAACCCTAAACCCTAAATTAACCCTAAACAAACCCTAAACCCTAAATTAACCATAAACAAACCCTAAACTCTAAATAAACCCGCTAAACCCTAAATAAACCCTAAACCCTAAATTAACCATAAACAAACCCTAAACTCTAAATAAACCCGCTAAACCCTAAATCAACCCTAAACCCTAAATTAACCCTAAACAAACCCTAAACCCTAAATAAACCCTAAACCCTAAATTAACCCTAAACAAACCCTAAACCGTAAATAAACCCTAAACAAACCCTAAACCGTAAATAAACCCTAAACAAACCCTAAACTCTAAATAAACCCGCTAAACCCTAAATAAACCCTAAACCCTAAATTAACCCTAAACAAACCCTAAACCCTAAATAAACCCTAAACCCTAAATTAACCCTAAACAAACCCTAAAACCGAAATAAACCCTAAATTAAACCCTATACCCGAAAATTTACTCTAAACCCTAAAATAATTCGCCCACAACCTTAAATCTGAACAAAAATCACTTAAAAATCGAAACGAACATCAATCTTTCTGCAAAAATTGGAAACTTACCTCGGTGACGGCGAAGGAGCGGCGGCGGTGAAGGAGCGGCGGCGGCGAAGGAGCGGCGGCGGTGCAAAAATTGGGACCTCGATTCGAAAGCAAAAAATACCACGAACCTAAACTAAACCGATCGAAAAGGGGAAGAAGAGGGGAGACGCGAGTTCGGAAACTTACCTGGCGGCGGCGAAGGAGCGGCGGCGAAGGGAGCGGTGGGGGACGACGGCGGCGAAAATGGAGGAAGAAGACGAAATGGCTAAGTGTCTGAGGAAGAAGACGATCGCGATGTTTTAAGAACATTGCGACCGATTTAATCTGTCGCAATCTGTCGCTGTGTCATTAAAGGGGGAGACACGTGGGCATTGCGACTGATTAATGCTGTCGCAATCTGTCGCTGTGTCATTAAAGGCGGAGACACGTGGACATTGCGACTGATTAATTCTGTCGCCATCCGTCGCAACAAAAAAAAGCGGGAGACGCACATTATTGCCGACATTTTGCGACAATATTGCGACCGATACTGTCGGTCGCAACATAATGTAATAATTAAAAAAAATAAAATGAAAAAAATTTAAGATAACTAATATTTTGATTTCGAGTACAATATTTGTAATACAAATCGGTATTTCATACATAAAAAAAAGTTATTATTAATCAAAAGAACCATATTCAGAAGTTCCTGTTGTTTTTTCGTCCGACTCATCGGTATTATCCTGCTCTTCGTCAT